GGCCCCCTGCCCTGCCTCTGTCCCCCCGCAGCTGCCCTACCTGATTGACGGGGCTCACAGGGTCACCCAGAGCAATGCCATCCTTCGCTACCTTGCCCGCAAGCACAACCTCTGTGAGTGGGGCAGGGGTGGGTGCAGGGGACGGGCGGCCCTGGGCCTGGGCTGGTGGGGTGGGAGGCTGAGGCGGAGCCCCTGTTGTGTCAACAGGCGGGGAGACGGAAGAGGAGAAGATCCGCGTGGACATGTTGGAGAACGAGGTGATGGACCTCCGGATGTTCCACATCAGGACCTGCTACAGCCCTGACTTTGTGAGTCCCTCCCAGAGGGCAGGGCTGCGTCCCCTCCGTGCATGTCCTGTTTGCCATTGGACTCCTTGGAGCTTCTGATCCTCCACGCTGGTCCCTGTCCTGTCAGCAGAGTGGCCCTCAGGACCCCTAGTGCCTCTAATGAAATCTCTGACTCAGTTCCCCTCAATCTCTGCACAGAGTGCTGACTCCCGCGGTCGAGGTTTAGTTTCTAACAGTGTGTGCAGCTCGTTAGCCCAGCCCCGCCTCCTTGGCACCTTTGGGCGTCAGCACACTTTCCCAGGAGGCGGCGTGGGGCACCCACAGGGCCTGTGTGCCCCTCACTCCTTGCTTCCAGTCTCTCAGGTTCTCCCCGTCTGTCCAGAAAGTGCTCGGGTGTCCTTCTGTCACCCACCAGCTGGCACTTATTTTTATTTATTTCTTTATCCTCACCCGAGGATATTTTTCCATTGATTTTTAGAGAGAGTAGAAGGGAGAGGGAGAGACAGAGAGAAACACAGATGTGGGAGCGGCCCATCCATTGGTTGCCTCCTGCATCCCCTGAACAGGGCCGGCAGCCTACAACCGAGGTACGTGCTCTTGACCGGAATCGACGCCAGGACCCTGCAGTCCCCAGCTGGATGCTCTATCTGCTGAGCCAAATTGGCTGGGGCACCAGTTGGAACGTATCGTTCCTGCCCCTGGGCCATTTTAGCACCTTTGATCTGCCCAACCTCTGGGTCCAGGCCCTGCAGGTTCCCCGGCTCCTGGGTCTGGCCCGTGCAGGGTGTGGCGATGAGTGGAGACAGGGTCAGGCACAGGCTGGTATCTCTCGGTGCTTCCCATCTGCCTGTCCCAGCGGGAGGTGCTACCCCGGAGTCCTAGACCTGCACCGCACGTTTGAGCCCAAGTGCCTGGACGCGTTCCCGAACCTGAAAGACTTCGTCGCCCGCATAGAGGTGACCCCACTGATCCTCTTACTATGTTACCTCTTTTGTCTCCTCTTATTCTTTTTTAAAAATACATTTTTATTAATTTCAAGGGATGCTCTGCTGGGCGTGCTGCGCATGTTTGAGCCCAAGTGCCTGGACGCGTTCCCGAACCTGAAAGACTTCTTGGGTCGCTTTGAGGTGAACCCCCTGATCCTCCTGCTGTTTTGTGTGTTTTGTCTCCTTCGTTTCCCTGATGCTTCTTTCGTCCTGGAGCTCAAATGAGGCTTAACCAGCATTCCCGGAGGACTAGCTTAATGCCAGGATCTGTGCTCAGCGCGATGCTAACAGTTGTTGAAATGTAATCTTTAAGACATTCCTACATGGGAACATTTTTCACGTCCATGTTGGAAAACGGAACTGAAAGGGTGGGTCGTTGGCTCAAGGTCACAGAGCCAGCCCACTGGTCACAGCCCCAGCACTGGTGCGGGACCCACCGTCAGTGGGGGCTTCCATGGGCAGCAGGCAGAGGCCCCCCTTTCCTGTGCCAGAAGGGTGAGCTCAGGCCCTCCTCCAGCCTGCGTGTCACGTGAGCCACGCCGGCCCAGCTCCCCCTTATTCTGGATGCTTCTCTCGTCCTGGAGCTAAAATGAAGCATAACTAGCATTCGTTGAGGACTTGCTTTATGCCAGGATCTGTGCTCAGCGTGTTACAGATATTGAGTTTAATTTAACCTTTAGAACATGCCTACATGGTAGAAGATTTATTTCCTCCCTTTAACAGACAATGACATGAAGTGAGGCTGAAAGGGTGGGTCGTTTGCTCAAGGTCACAGAGCCAGTCCACTGGGTCGCAGCCCCAGCACTGGTGCGGGACCCGCAGTCGGCGGGGGCTTCTATGGGCAGCAGGCAGAGACCCCCCTTTCCTGTGCCAGGAAAGTGAGCTCAGGCCCTCCTCCAGCCTGCGTGTCACAGCTCCGGACTTTGTGGAGGAAGCAGAACTTTCCAAAGTGTGTATGTAGGAAATGAGTAGAGCTGGGATGCGGTAGGGATGACATGAAGTACCAAAGACACAGTGTTTCCTCCCTGTCTCCAGACAGCTCTGCAGCCTGGGGTCCCCTCTGGGCAGTGCTGAGCTCTCCGGGCTGTAGGTGCTGGGTCCTGAGTACACATGTGGTGGCCCCTGCAGGTTTCTATTGTTAACCCTCACCCTAGGATAGTTTTTCCATTGAATTTTAGAGAGGGTGCGAGGGAGAGAGAGAGAAAGAAACATTCATGTGAGAGAGACACATTGATTGGTTGCACCCTGACCGGGGCCTGGGGATCAAAGCTGCAACCCAGGTACATGCCCTTGTCTCCGGGCTGTCGCCAGCGCTGGGGTCTGCAGTGTGGCTGCCGCTGCAGAAGGATTTTACCTTGGCATCTGTGGTGGGCACTCTCCTTCCCTGCCCTCTCCCCGTCTCTGCAGTTACACAGGAACTTCCTGAGATGAGGTGGTGCATTTATTCTCGGTTGGACTCACTGACGTGCCCCTCTCCTCTGTACGAGGCACTGTGACAGGCTCAGCGAGGATGCATAGATGACCTAGCCCTACACCCTGTTTCCCCCCAACGCCTCCTGGGTCTCAGGAGGAAGTGCAGGAGGAGTCCCCGAGGTGTGGTCCTGCGGTTCCACCCAGGTGTTGGAGGTGCATGTCCTAAATCTCATCTCACAGCTCATCATTGGTTACCCTATTGAACTCACAGATGATCAATAAAGTCCGCTTTGCCCGGCGGTTTGGCTCAGTGGTTGAGCATTGACCTATGAACCTGGAGGTGGTGGTTTGATTTCCAGTCAGGGCACATGTCCAGGTTGTGGGCTGGGTCGCCGGTGGGCAGTATGTGGGAGGCAGCCCATCACTGATTCTCTCTCATCATCGATGAGACCCTTCAGGATGTGGGCCGACGCTCTAACCCCTGAGCGTACCAGCCAGCCAGCCAGATTTCATCCTCACATCTTCAGTGGGCCCTTCCCTTCCCTAACTGTCTCCTTTTCCTTCTTTCCAATTACCCGGGACACTGCCTCGGAGATGAGGTGGTACATTTACTTTCAGTCGTATTCACGGACGTGCCCCTCTCCTCTGTGTGAGGCTCAGGGAGGATGCAGAGGTGGCCCAGCCCTGGAGTCCCCTTCCCCCTCCTGGGTGCAGGAGTCCCCGCTGTGTGGTCCTGCGGTCCCACGTGGGTGGTGGGGGTGCACGGCCTGAACTTCACCTCACAGCTCATCACAAAGTGGGCTTTATCACAGATGTGGGAACTTGAGGCATCCTGAGGCCCAGGCTTTTCAGCTCACAGTCTGTTTCCCTTTCCCCTCCCCATCAGGAGATCTGCCTTGTCAGCCAGCTCCCATCGGCTCTGGTTCGGGTCCAGGGCCATCAGCCTTGGATATTATGCAAGAGCCGGCGGACTGACTGGCTGGGAGGGATGGGGCTCAGCTGTGGGCTGCAGCCGCGGCCTGTGGGGCCAGGCCTGGGTTACTGGCAGTCCCCGGCCCTTCGCATCCTGTGGAAGTGACTGGACACGCCCTGTCATGGGAACATGGGCTCACACACACCGTGTGTCCAGGGCCTGGTTGGCTGCAGGTGGACAGGGATGAGGCAGGTCGGGGCCCAGTGAGATTGGGCTCAGGAACCAGGCCAAGCAGCTGGACTTTCTCCTTTGAGGGGACTGGTCGGCCGGCTCTGCTGCTCCACCCCCTCCTATCGGCTTTCACCCCCGTGTTGCTGAGTCATGGGTGAGCCCTGGCTGCTCTGCAGGCTGCACAGGCACATCCTGAGCCCTTTGTTCTGCCCGGGGTCCCTCTGGGCAGCCCCTGGGCAGCGGGAGCCTCCCTGTGAGAAAGGAGACAGTCTGTACAGGCGGGGAGGGCCAAGGCCTCCTGTGTGGGCGGGAGGAAGGGAGGAAGGGAGGGCAGCAGAGCACAGGGTGGGAGGGAGAGCCAGGCTGCCTTCCAGCCCCGCCCCCCACAGCTGTGTGAGCGTGTGGCAGGGGCTTCAGCGCTGTGTGCCTCAGTTTCCCTCCTGATAAACGGTGATAGCAGAACCTATCCTATAGGCTAAGAATGTCAAACTTGCAGCCTGCAGGCCGCATGCCATGTTTATTTAGCCCTTGAGTTTGACATGCTTGCTGTAGGCAGTTGTGTGGAATGTTGTAAACCTGTTTCACGGTCTCTAATGGCTGTGAGGCCCCTAGCACAGTGTGGTCGCGTAAGTGGGAACTGTGACTAAGATATCACACCAGTCACAGGAAACGGCAAGAGTTAACTCAGCGGAACTGGGACCCCAGGAAGACTGTCTTATGCCAGGATCCTGAACTTGGAGTGTCTGGAGTGAGGCTGTGTGAGCCCCGGGGGCGGGGGCAGCAGACCCTGAGGTCTGACCTCTCTCCCTTCCTCACCCCCACACCCCCCAGGGCCTGGAGAAGATCGCTGCCTACATGAAGTCCAGCCGCTTCCTCCCAGCACCTATTTACACAAAGATCGCCGTGTGGGGCAACAAGTAGTGCCCGGAAGTGCAGGGCAGGGCACGGGAGCGAGGAGCATGCCGGACTGGAGAGCAGCTGGACCTCCCCCAACCCGCCGAACCAGCTGTCTTGTTCTTTTCTCCTTTTCTTTCCTTCACCCCCACTCAGGACCCCCAATCCCAGCTCACCGGGACTTCAGAGCTCTCAGCACCCCTTGTTCCATAAGGCTTCCTGCACAAAGCCAATCGGACTGACCGTCCTTTCGGTGGTCGCTCCGTTTGGAGGAGCCCGACTGGACCCCTGGCCTGTGGAGATCAGCCCTGAGCTCCCACCTCTGCTCTGCAGACCAGGACGGCCTGGGGGTGTGCAGGCCCTGCTCCCCGCGTGGCCCCTGCCCAGCTGCTGAGCCCAGGGAAGCCTGATCACACCTGCTGTGTCCCGTCTTAATCCCTCCGGGCCACCGAGCTCACTCCCCAACAGGCCCTGCTGCGCCCCAGCGTCTGGCGATGCTGGCAGTGGCGGGTCCTTGGGGATCCTGGGTGAGACGTGTTGTTCCCATTTCTGACACCGTTGGAGCAGGACACGTCCTGGCTCTCTGTAGGACATATTCTTGTGGAGGCGGTGCTACAGGCCACAGATCACAGAGGGACTTCAAAAGCCGCCTGAGCCACGCATACCCCCAAGCACATGTGTGTCAGGAGCCAGGGTCGGGGCGGGAATCTGTGGGCCTGGACAGCCCACGCTGCAAGGCCCACACTGCGGCCCTGCGGAGAGTCCCCAGGCTCCTGGCGGAGCTCCCACCCCTGCTTCTGATGCCTCTGCAGCAGCACAGGCGGCTGGTCCCTCAGAGGCCACCTCTTCCCGCTGCACTCGCGCCACTGCACTCACCCCCACGCCCTGTGTGACCACTGTGCTCCCCGTTCTGTTCTCCTGGTTCTGTTCTTGTCAGCATCGGGGACACCTCGCTGGCGGGCAGGCCATTTCTGGGGCTGCGCTCAATACCCTGCCTCTTTGCAGGGGCTGGTTCTGGATTTTAACAACTGCGACCATAAAGCCAATTGATTAATTTTCATTTGATTCTTGTTCAGTTTTTTAAATTCCAAAGGGAGGAAGGGAGAGGGAGAGAGAGAAACATCAGTGATGAGAGGGAATCATTGATGGGCTGCCTCCTGCACACTCCGCACTGGGGAAGAGCCTGAAACCCAGGCAGTGCCATGATGGGGAATCCAACCGTGACCTGGTGCACAGGTCGCTGCCCAACCACTGAGCCACACCAGCTGGGCTTCATTGGATTTTTATCTCTTAGACACAAGACTTAAGAGCTGGGTCCTCCCAAGTGCAAGACGGGGAACATGGAGGCCCCATCTCCTC